TACCCCCTCCTCCCCCACCACGCCAGGCCCAGCCCCCATGGGGGCCCCCAGGGGATCAGGCTCCAGGGGCAGAGGATTGTGGCCAGGGTTCGCGGTTCTGGTTCGCGGCCCACGCGCCCCGCCCCCCGCAGCCGAGCCACGTAGGCCTCTGCTGGACCGTTCATCTTCGCGACGGCGGTTTTGCATTTTCACCCCTCTCCCCATATCCTAACTCAGTCCTGTTCGAATTCCGCACAGGGTCGAGCGCCGGAGGGGCGCGCAAAGTGTATTTTTTCCCAGCACCGCGCTACGGTCAAAGAACTATGCGGAAGGACGCACGCATTTTGTGACAGGAGGCCATAGAGAGCGTGAATTCATTTCGAATGTTAAATATGCCAGCAAGGCAGACGGCGAAGCGAAAGAAGAGAGGGAAAGGGGGGAGAGAGAGACAGATAGAGAAAGAGCGTGGGTCGCCATGGCCATGTTGATGCGAATGCGATTCCAGCGCCAAGAAAAAGTTCGCCTGCACAGAGTGTATCAGTCGTACGCACAAGGAAGTTAAATAAAAATAAAGAGCGAGTTATTCGTCCAGCGAGGGAAAAATGTGACTATTATATGAGTAAATATGAATGCATTCAAAAAGGACTACATTACGATGGGATTTTTAATAAAACCGAGTACCTAGGCACGTCTGGTAGAGATGGAAGGAAGGGAAAGAAAAAAAAGAGGAAAAATGAAAGAATATGGCATACATCATTCGTTTTCCTGAGTACATCTTTGCCGGCGTACCGACAGTGGGGAGCCCACCGGAGTGCACTTTCCCCTCCTGCATCCCCAACCCCTCCTCCTCCTTCCCTCCTCAACCATAAAACACAACCAACGCACTCGGCCACTTTTTATTGTGGCTCGCGTCCCGTACGTTCCGCGTGCTCCGGGGCTGCGCTGTGCGGCGCTGTGCGGCGCTGTGCGGCGCTGTGCGGCGCTGTGCTGCGCGACACCACCTGCCGTGCCGCACACGCGGAGCCCTCAATTTGCCTCCTGTCCCTCCCCACAGAAAATAACCCACAGCCTGGGCTGCTCATCCGAGAAGCACCATACCGCACCCTGCTTGTCCCTTGTCCTACTGTACCTCTCCAGTAATTTGAAAAAAACGCAACGGTTTGGGGACTTTAAGTTAGACTTATTTACTCAGCGCTAAAAAGGGGGGGGGGCTCTAGTATAGAAAGGTAAGGGTAAGGGATCGCCGCGCGTAGCGAAAGGCTACCATTTACGATTGAAGACACGTCCGGCGACGTTGCAGGGCGCGCGGGTGGACTAGGACGGAACACGCGCGTGCGAGAGAGACAGACACATGGGAGGAAATCCAGAGGGAGGGAGAGGGGAGGTGACCACTGCAGCAGTGGCAGCGGAGTCTCTCGCGAGGTTTTATTGAGAGCGAAACGTGAAGCATTAACAGGCCAGACGAACCGAGCGGACAACGAGAGAGACAGAGATATATATACGGCGACGAGGGTGAGTGAGAGAGGCTGCGATATCTTGATGGCGCGGAAGGCAACCTCATAAAGTGAATCGCAAATAAAGTTTGGCCGTGCGAACGCATGGGCGCGCCGCTGTCGGGTCAGACTTGAGTTGAATGAGAACGAGACGGAGGAGGGAGCGGCCGGAACGAGGCACAAATATAGGTACACGAGCGACAAGCGCGGGGATTGGAAAACATAAAAACTTTGATGGACGCGCAGATGCAATTTCAAGCACCGGTTAGGGGGGTTGGAAGGGGTGGGGGCCGCGCCGCGGGGGAGGCGAAACAGAGGGTGCGTTACAGCGCGCTCCGAGTAATGAGTGGGGATGCAATGAATGGATGGCGCTGTCAACGGCTCACCGAGCAGCATTCAGTACGAACGACACGAACGACACTCACCCGTGTGTGTTCTTTGGTGCGCCTTGAGGTGTGAGCTCTTGGTGTAGATCTTTTTGCAGCCGGGGAAGGTGCACTTGTGGATGCGGCGCTTGGCCGACTCGGCGTGGTGCGCGCCGCGTATCCGGCCCGGCGGCGAGCTCTCGCCCGACGCGTGGATGTGGTGGTACTGGTGGTGGTGGTTGTGGTAGGTGGTGATGAGCCGCGCCGACACGCCCAGGTGCGAGGTGAGGTGGCGGCGCGCGGGCGGGTGCACCCTGAGGAGACCCTCCCGCTTCACCGAGGTGGACGACGTGCTGCCCGTGCTGCTGTCGCTGTGGTGGCCCTGGCCAGACTCGGGGCTCGACGGCGGCGTGAGCGTAATGCCCTGGCCGCCCGCCCGCGCCGTCCTCGCCACGAGCCTCAGCTCCAGCTGGTCGTCGTACATCATGTCGTCGTCGAAGTCGTCCTCGTCGTCTACATCATCGTCGTCGTCCACGTCGTCTTCATCGTCGTCATCCTCGTCCTCGTCGTCCACCTCCTCGCCGTCGTCCATCTCCTCGTCTTCGTCGTCGTCATCCTCGACGTCCTCGATGCTGAGCTCCTCCTCTTCCAACTCCTCCTTGGGCTCCTTTTTCACCACCCGGACCTGTGCGAGCAAAAGTGGCGAGTCAGACACACCCACAGCTCCTGTACGGTGCACCGGCACCACAAGACAAAACTGGGACAGGGACCCACCTGACACGAGACGGCGCTCTCCCAGCCCGTCGAGGCCGAGCTGATGGTATCCAGGTGCAGGGTGTTGACGCCCAGGATGGACCACGTCGTCCCGGTGTCCTCGTTGTGCTTCTCCTTCTTCACCTGGTGGTGCTTGGGCTCGTCCTTGAGCCACTTCTCCATCTCGTAGCACGTCTGAAACAGAGAAAAAGACGGCGCCGTTAGAACTCGCAAACGGTGTAGGGTGGAGTGGGGAGGCCAGACACCCCGACCGGGTTCATAAGCCCTAGTGGCTTGAAAAATGGGCGGCGAGCAGCTCATTGCAGTCGGCTCACACGAGCACTCCCGCCTGCTCCCGCCCCTCCCCCGCGCATCCAGTGGCACATCGCGACGTGCGGCTCGAGGAGCGGAGAGAAGAGGGGAAAAACAAGCCAATGATTGATTACTCTTTTTCCACAAGCCTTTGAGGGGAAAGGGGCGGTCGGTGGCCGTCGGGCTCAGTGCGACTGGATCCGTCAATGTGAGTAGGAGGCCGGCGGGCGGCGGCAGTGGCCTCAGCTCGGGACCCCCCAGCCACAGAATGCCGACGGACCTGGTCCTGCTGGCCCAGTTCTATCCCCCCACCAGTCCGGCTAGCCGGGCGCGACAGGACAGTCACTATTAATCACGATGGAGGTATTGCTGTTTTTGTGTTTATCTGGCGGGAAGCATGCCGGCGCCAGGCAGACTCCCTTTCCCCCGTCTCTTTCTCCTTCTCTCTCTAATCGCAATGATGGCTAACTATCGCGGGACTCTTTCGTCCCCCAGGACCGTCCTGCCGCTCATACGAAATGAAGGAAGTGGAGCAGCAGCAGCAGCAGTAGAGCCCCTCAGGGGAGAAGGGGGAAGCGAGGGGGCGGAGAGTAGGCCACGAGGGGCTGAGGGAGAGAGAGAGTGGAAGGAGGGAGAGAAAGGCCCGCCGGCCCGCGCGCGCGGCCAGTGCTCCTGGAGCTCCAGCCGGATGATTTACGATGCCACTATCCTTCCGGGAAGTGCGCGCGCGCGCGCGCGGCGCACACAGTGACCTGCTCGCTGGGGGATGCTCCCGGCGGGCGGCACGCCCAGCCCAGCCCCAGTACAGCCCGCGCAGCCTGCCGGACACTTCTTGCCGCTACGCTACGCCACGCCACCACATTAATCCTCGTGCGCACCGCGGCCGCCCCGCCCCCACCTGCCCGACACAACAGCGACTATGCCGCACGCCCCCGATCGGTGGGGGCTGCTGCGGGGGAGTTTGATAAAGTGGCGGCGCGAGGCGTGTGCAGAGTCCCTCACAAGGAATGCGGAGCCGTCCGCGTGTGTCGCCTCCCATTACCTCCTCGCCCCGTATCGCCTTCAAGGAGGCCGGGCAAGGGCGCGCACCGCGGACGGGGAGAGGAGGGCCCGCCAGTGGCGCTCAGGTGGCCGGGGCGGGCTCACGAGGAAAAAAACGGGGCCGGGGGAGGGCGACCGGTAACCGGAGAAGACGCGTGCCATACCCCCACACCGGCCATGGCCATTCCGACCGGCTCTCTACCCCCTCCCCCTTTCTCTGTGGCCATCACGGAGCTAGTGCGCAGTTAAGCCCTGCCGATACACCACCGCACAGCAGCAGCGGCGCGCCCAGGTACAGTGCAGCCATTGCATACCGGAGGCAAACAGCAACAGGCAGCAGGGAGTTCGGTAGTTATCGAGAGAGGCAGAGCGGCATTCCCGATCCGCGGGGGATGGCGGCGATGTAATGCGCTGTAACACTGAGCGGCAGTCGGTGAGCAGCGCCCGAGAGGCAGCCTGGGAAGGGCGAGCGAGAGAGAAAAGAGAGGGGGTGGGAGAGATCGGGGCACTACTTCCGGTTAGGTCGTAGAGCAGTCTCATTAGAGAGCCGGCAGAGACGGTGTGAATACCAAAGTGCCGACGAGGCCCTCCGCTCGGCAGCGGCACTATTCTGGCAACCGACTCCGACGTCTTATCCCCGATACTGCCCGGCAACTGTATAAAGCGAAAGCAGCAGCAACAACGGAAAATAAGAAAAGGGGTAAATTTCACCCGTCGTGTATAGCAGCTCATTCTCCGTCTTCCCGGAAGCTCATCGACTTGACCCGGCTCGCCCGGCTGCTGCTGCAGAGCTCGGCTGCTGGAGAGCTCGGATGGAGCCGAGCCTCCCGGCCTGCCACTGAGCGCGCGCGCCCTGCCCTCTCGGCTGTCGGCTTACGGGATCAACCGGGCGCAGGGCGGCCAGGAAGGGAAGGCCGAGCGAGCGGCGCGCGGTCCTGCCGCTCTGAGCTTGCTGGGAGAGGGGAGCCCCGGAGAGCCATGCAAACGCGGAGAGTCAGTTGTTGCGGAGGGAAGTGAGGGGAAGGGGTTTTCATTAACCGCGGCGCCACAGAGCTTCATTGCACAATACACTTTTAATGACTGCATTACGATCAGCCAACGGCGCGTCGCTAACCGAAGCACCAGCAGCGGCACCCATAGCAGCGCCCGTAGGCAGCACGACGGCCGCCGAAGAGCCGAGGCAGATAACCGATGCGTATGAGGATGATGGCCACTTTTTAGGCGAATAATCACCGTATAAGTTTCGTACGAACAACTGCTCTGTGTAACGTCCAAATGAGTCGGAGCGTTTGTAATACAAATTGTCTATATATTACGCAGAGCCTTGTTTGTAAACAAGGAAAGCTTTTCGTATTACGAACGGGGGCTGTTCGTAAACTGACGGAAATTCGTTCGTAATATGGCTGCTTTAGATCCTTTGTACGTTGCAAACTCAATGCTTCGTCTTCGTAATAGTTGTAAGAAACTAAGAGTGAAATCGCTAAGCTGCGAGGATAAACACACGTGCGAAAGATTTCGCACAACACACACATTCATGCCTACTGCAAAGTTGCCAGACTAATTGGCATAAGGCACAAAAGGGCCCAAAAATAAAATTTGGGGGGTCACACACGAGTTTAACGTGTACACAGAGGGGAATGACCGCGCATAGTGAAAAAGATAATTAGGACATAGTTGGCACAGAAAGTGCTAAAGCGCGCGCGTCCAGGCAGGAGGGACGTCCTTGGCTGCTCACGGTGCGAGTGGCCCGGCCATTTGGGCGGCCTTGTCATGCAGCCACTGGGGGCTCGGCCCTCGGCTAGGCCGGGCGCCTGCGTGCTTGTCACCCAAATGGGAAATGTGAGCTGATGGGGTGTATAAAACTTACAGCTTGACGTTTTTATTAGACGTGGAGGGACAAGCAGGTGGGCCAGGAGGGCAGGGCCCCGGTGCTGCCCAGGGCTGGGCGCCCGTGCGGCTGTCCGACAGCCCCCCGCCCGTCCGTCCGTCCGTTTGTACAATAAATAGCAAACAGAGAGCGCTCGATTGCTCTATTGTCGCCTCGCGAGGCATTCAGCGCCTGTTTAATTGTTTCACTGTTTGTCGTTTACGACGTTACAAAAGGAGTTCGCTGCGCAGCCAAGCGAGCGCGCGCCCGGGCCTCCTTCAGGGGGGAGCAGGAGCAGGCGCGGCGGGAGCAAATGAGAAATCAGGCTCAGAAAAGAAAGAAAAGCGGCGAGGAATCTCAGGATTGCGCGCCACGAAAACCATAGCGGGTGCTCGGGGGGCAAATGCAGCAAACTGCGGCCTCTTCCCGACTCCCAACCCACCTCTCTTCTCTCGCTCTACCTCTCCCTCTTTCCACTTCTATTCCCTTCCTGCCAGCCTCCCGCCACTCTCTGTCCCCCTCCCCCCTCCCCAGGGAAAGTGTCACCGAAAGGCTCGCCGAGAGGCCAAGGAGGGAAAAGATTCATTATGTAGCTGATGGCGAGGCCAAGCAGAGGGCCGCGCTGCGTCCACCCCCGGCCCCCGGGCTACGGGGGAGGGGGAGTGAGAGAGAAAGAGACAGGCACAGAGATAGGATTTCGGTAACTTTATTAAAGAGGTCCACCCACGCAACCACCTTGCGGCGCCTCTGCGGGTTGCCTCCGGCCTCTCTCCTCTCTTTGACGCTCACTCCCTCCGAGCGCTTGACGACGCTCCGGCCTTCAGAGCGGGATGCACTCCGCTTGCGGTATAAATCCGACCGATTGCAAATTAAGTATTTATGGGGCGTCCTCGACGACCCTAATGAAAAGCAGCGTCAAGAGTAGAGAAAGAGAAAGAAAGGGTATAAAGAGGGTGAGAGCGAAGAGAGGTGTTGAATGAGAGACAAAATGTCTGTCAAAAATAATCGTGGATAAAATTACGAATTCAATTCCAAATCCTATGCTGATTTAATTTTCTTCAACAAGCGAGCATTGTAAATCGAAATAATGCCGAGAATTTAATACGAGAAAGGGGACGGGAAGACTTTGTTTCTGGTAGAGACAGTCTTGGGGGATGAGTAAAAATTATGTGTGTTTTTTTTATTGAGACAGTGAGAGGAAACAGTATATGATGCGGAATGCCTCCTCCTGCAGCTCGCCGCGGGTGCCGCCTGCATGGCCGGCGGGTAGCCCGCCCGCCCAACAGGCGTGCGCAGCGGGTTGCAGCGCTGCGGTCCACAGGCGTCCCGGCCAGACGACACGGTGCGGCGAGCCGCCGCCAGCCCCGCCCGCCGCCCGCCCGACTGCCAGCTGGACTTGTTGTTAGGGAAATCCTGGCGGGGTACACGACACGGCAGATAAAGCGAGCGGTGCAGAGAGAGAGAGAGAGAGCGAGAGAGAGAGAATAGACAAGGAGGCCGGCCCGCAGGGAGAGGAAGGAGACAGGCGCTCAAGCAGCGAGGGGAGAGAGCCACTACGCCTCGGGCCGAACAAAAATAAGTTGCGGCGGCGCGAGCACAGCGCAAAACGTAAGGAGATCAGGGGTATAAATCAGCAAGAGGCCGCGCCAGACACGGGAGCGGCGCTGGCTCCTGCTCCCGCGCAACTCCGGCGGAGCCCCAGGGCAGCTCTAGCACAGCTCTAGCGCAGCACCTCCAGCACAGCTCTAGTGTAACTTCAGCGCTGCTCTTGCTTCTTTCCAGCCTCCAGAGCGGCCCCAGCGCACTCCAGAGCTTCCGGCTGGAAGCCTCGACGCGCACATGAATATGTTCGAGCAGCAAGTCCTGCCCGGCCGCCGGGGGGTTGGGGGGCTGGACAAGAGCATTAAACACGGGAGGGAGCGGGTGGTGAAGGGGAACAAAACACACGCGCGGGGTGAAAAATGCGACAAAAAGT